CATCTAAACATAAATCTTTGCTAAATACTAATAGTCAACTTAGCTTCATTAAGAATTCTTATCTCGAATTGTCCAAGTGTAGATTCATTGGTTCATGAAATTGCAATTCTCTTGTTTTGTTGCGTTTTTTGTATTCCCTGCTTTGCCTTTCTTAAATGAGGTGTTACAAATGAATCCAGTACACTAGGAGACATTGCTACCCATTCATCATAGTTTGTTAAATTGAATCTGAGTTGTTTGCTTTTGTGTGTGTGTAGTTATTTTTGAAAGCAGTTGAACAGTTGTAAGTAACTGTATTGGATCATTAATGTGTCTCATTGCAACTTTACGCTAATGCGTGCAAGAATGAAATACGGGATGCAGAGGACATTCCTGAACATGCTCTTTGAATATTGATGTTGTTACTTAGTAACAGTTGCATTCAGCTGATAACTCATTACCATCTGCATCTTCTACTTGTGGCATCATCTCTTGGGACACAGCCTTGTACATATTCCCTGAGAGATGCATTCTTTAACACCACCTATGCTAGTGTGTATGTGAATGGGTACAGTAAACAGGTAAGACTGAGTAAACTAAATTAGGTGTTTCTGCTAAACCTACTTTTCTGTTTGTGTGAGTGGGGGGGGGGGGTTGTCGCTCAACATTTTTTAATTTTATGCAAATTAGCTATAGTCATTACACTAATGTGTATTTTTTGATTTCATATTCTTTCTTCTATGGAGTGAATGAAAACTAACCTGTCATCTTGTCATTTTTTACATCTGTAGTTCAAATAAGATTACATGTATGTTCCCACAGGGAAAAATAAAATGATCTAAAAATCCCTGCCTATGTATTTTGTTATTTTAACTGTTACGAGAAACATCAATTTGGCCTAATTATTAATCTTCCCGGTTTCACCACTAGTTTTCTCTTTTCATCACAAATTTATAGTCTGTACTTTCCTTCAGAAGACTGGGACTGGAAATAGACAAATTTTCTGAGTAAAAACTAAAAATCAAAACTCAAATTTTGTCTGTTTGAACCAAAATTAGGGTTCATGACTGCAACATTTGAAGATTATAAGAAAAAAGCATTGACAAATTTGAACAGGAAAGTCTGGTGGTGAAAAGGTTGAATTGAATGGAAATACTGGACAGTCTATAGTTTGTCATATGTGTATGAATGTCATGGACATGATATGAATACACTGGTTTTGGTTTTATTCCCCCATAATGCCATACTGTTGCCCTCCAACCATTTCCACCACCAATTCCCCCATAATGCATTGTTCCTGCTCACCAAGTTGTATATAAATGCAACATAGATGTCTTTTGTATTGAAGGCTTTCAGTCTATTAGTAATTTATTAGTACAATGCAGAATCTGAAGCGCAGTTTGAGGAGTATTTCAAATTTGGAATTGTAAATATTGTTGATTTTTTAATGTTTGGAAAGAACGTAAATGTATATTTTCAAAAATCTTCAAAATCGATTGATAATCAATTATTACGGCTAAAGTATCCATCTACATTAAGATGATCAGAATTCTTGGATTAAAGACAGCTGTCTGTCTGACAGAAACTAAGATGGATTGTAAAGTAAATGAAGAAATTATCCATGGACAAGATTGTGGTGAATTTGTAATGAAAGGTAAAGAGACATTTTGGCAGGTATTACTAAAATAATGATTGGAAAGTTAATTCAGTAAAATAATTGACATATTTTACTACATTTGAATAATAGGGTTCTTGATAATTTTGATATTTTGAGTCATCCAAGATGCATTAGTAGTGTTGGTATATGCCTGTTGTCATAGTAACACATGAGGTAGATAAAATGCTAGATGGTATATAGTTGTAATAAACCAGAATTCAGTCGCTTATAGAAATGCCATCAGTTCACTGAAAAATCACTGAAATACGGAGTGGAAGCTGCATTCTTCTAGTGTCAGAATTATTTAGGCTCAATAAATATTGAACATTACTGCAAGTTAATTAAACGTTAACGTTACCCCCCCTTTGGGGATTTTCATTCTATGTTTGAGGGGACACTGACTCGTTCATATCGATGAGTCATGATTGGAAGACTTTCATAGAGGCCTAAAATCTCAAGAACAATGCTGTGTTGTTTTAGGATGAAAGATGCTATGTAAATTTGTTAAATTTTAGTTTGTTATAAGTAAACTTTAGAGCACATAAGTAGCAAGAATGGTTTATGTTTTTGATTGAACATTTACATGCAGCTTTTATAGTAATGTCAATTTTGAAAACTGCTTAATGTCTTATGGGAAAAAAAAGGTTTGTCAGTTTGCTTTGGCTCGTGGGAAGACACCTGTTCTGTTTCAGAAGTCTTTGTGTTTTTACAAATAATTGAAGAAAGAAATCATATGATGTAACAGTCGTTTCGATTAAATGTATAGTGTACAATACTAAGGAAATACTTTTGTTCCAATGCTAGTAGCAACTTGTACTCTCAGTGCAACAAAGGCATTTCCTTCATCTTTATAAATATTTGAAGATTTCAATGACAATTAAATTAAATTATAAAGAATGCCTTTGTTGTGCTGAGAGTAAATTATGTCTATAACAGTTCTGAGCACCTTGATATATTTTCAGAATAGTATTTTAATAAATTGTCATTCTCTTAAATTTAGTAATCATCAAAATATCTACATTATTTTTCACTATCAGCTATCATTGCAAATAAGAAAAGAAAACATTAAAATCAGCTAAATATTAATTTGTATCACTGTCAACCTGTGTATAATTCCTTAGGGCACTTCATACATTTTCCTATACACAGCTGTGACTTGAGCAAAAGTATAGTTAATCCAGCAGAAAAAAAAAAAATGACATCGTTTTTAGCATCATTATTTGTTTGGTATTGCATTAAAGACGAAAGCTTGGGTTGATAGGGTATTATTCTGGTCACTGAGCGATTGCCTACACCTGATTGCACCGTGTAGTGAGATGACTGCATCGTCTATCCCGTGAGACTTACTCCTGCAATCCCTTGGAATAAACTAGATCCGACTTTAGGTATTGGGAATGTTTCCAGTCAGACGATGAAGGATATGACGATGATGGATATTTGAAGTGAATGGTTGGGATCGCCTTGTTATTGCGATAATTACTTTTTATCTGCTTTAGACCCACACATTTTTTTAGTCTTACTTCAGTTTACACCAATCTTTTATGTATTTTCATCTAAAAAAAAACAAAAAACGAATGGTTTTGAACTATTTTTGTTCAATCATTTCTTAATTAATAGATTTCAATTTTCCCGAGAAAATTACTGATACCTCTTCGTGATAAAACCAATGGCAGATTCTGAGTCTGTGACATCACTATGTGTTCTAACTTATTTAGTTTTTATGTGGAATATGCTCTATAATATTTTATTTTAGGGTGTGAAAGAAATAAATACAAATTTTGTGGAAACCCATTTTTTCGTTTCAAGACGGTTGCATTTCCCATCAAAAAAAGTTGATTACTCAATGCATAATAATGATGCATACTAATAATGTCCTGGAGTAAATTAACATGATTCAATGGTGATTATTAAAACCTACAAAGTGATTTGATTTACAGGTACATGCTATTTCATATAATCTCTTAACTACAGACCCATAAACTGACTAATTAAATTAAAGTAGAGGCTGCAAAGCATGATGGGTAAATTTGCATACCTCAAGTATTGGGTAAGAAAACAAGATCTAATAGTTTATCTGCAATGCTGAGTATCACAAAATACACCAATATTTAAATATTGTTGATAATATTCATGAATTATTATTAGAATTAAAATTAATTTGAATATGTCTTGCAGTTTCACAAATTATGATCACTGTTTTAAATCGTAGTCATTTCAATCTGCGAAATGAATACTGTGAAATACTTTATTTTCGCTGGAATTAATTTTCGCTGAAAAGGCTTTTTGGGCGTTTTGCATGAAATTTATTTTCACTGATTTTTGATGAGATTAATGTGAAATATAGGAAAAAAAGTATATTTGCTGGATTTTATTTTCACGGAATCATCCCTTCAGTGAAAATAGCGAAAATAAATTCCAAGCGAAAATAAAATATTCTACAGTACATAGTTTAAACAGGATTCAAATTGTTATTTTTAAATATTAGATTTAATAAACTTGTGTTATTAGTACTTAATATCTAGATTCCTAACAAGCAAGGTTGTAATATTTGTACTATGTTTTATATGTAAAATAATTGCCGAGATGTTTTTAACCTTTTCACCGCCTGTTCACTCTTTTCATCACAAAGTAGTCCCCGTTAATAGTCTGCACTTTCCTTCAGAAGATTGAAACAAAAATGGCAAAACAGAAAATTGGCTCCAATATTAGGGTTCATTTCCAGAAATATAATTAAAGAATATGCCAGTAAAAATAAAAATGCAGAAAAACTTGGGTGAGAAAGTCTGGTAGTAAAAGATTTAACCATTCATATATGGAGTCCGGGTAACACAGTTCAAAAACACAGTCGCTTATTATGAATAAATCATCTGTGTGCCTCATCAACCCAGATGATCAGGAATTACGGTTCATGATCTGCATCATATTCAGTTTGAAATTTCCACGTTGTATTGATTGCACACCTGTATTTGGAGTGTCCTTAGGGACCAAGATGAATAGAAAATCAAAGCCAATTAAGACAGGAAATATTGGTTTTAGGTCACATTGCTTAGGGTTGAATGCCATTAAAAGTGATCTTCAGGATTTTTATGATTTTAACAATGTTCTCAATTTTGTTTTATTCTAAATTTCTTTATTAAAAAAATCTTTCAGGCATCCATGCAAATATACATTTTTTGAATAGTTGTTACGAGTATCTATTGGCAAAATAACATTTATCTTAAAATTGAGTATTGTGATAAAATAAATATGTTGTAAAATGAATATTATATATATGTTGATATGTATGAATGGGAAATATTCCTTTTCCTGAGTTTTCAAAAAAAAAACATATTTCCCACAAGAAGAATTTCGATGACAAGTAACAGAGAGGTACACTCAGCTTCATGAAAGTATGAATGTGTTTTTCATATAAAATATCTATAGATTTTGACCAATCACAACGCTTTAATGGATACATGGATACAACTTGGCCAATGATTGAAGGAAACCTGCAAAGACTTGTGGGTAATGGGCATTACCAACCCTTTTATATAGTCAGTAAAAG